AAACTAACCGAGGAAACTGAAACTTGCTTCACAGGTTAAATCTCGACAATCGTTTTCGAAGGTCAACCATTTAAACAGGCACATCTTTTATGTCTTATGTTGTTCATTATACAGATACACTTGCGATCTCCTGTTTGAGCACAGACACTGTTTGTATGCTTGTTAGTAACGCACATTCGACCACATAAAATATGCCATTTAATCCTGGAACTCATCATAAAACTTAACCGTAATGTTTTGAAACTTCCAGAAAGAATAGCAAACGGTTGTGGTTAGAACTATAATCAAAGTTTAGAAACAGTTTAGGAGCAGTCTGAATGGGTCTGCTTAAATCCTAATCAATGGACCAAACGAGAGCTAAAATAGGTCAAACGCGTTCAGCGTGCTAATCAATGCTATCAACAGGAAATTAGTTAATCAAGCAGAAGCGGTGTGTGCGGAGGTGGATGTATTGTGAGCGTCTGTGGGCATTGCTATAGAAATAAAGCCAGCAAGGTGACAACTACATTCATCAGGGTTATACTTCACTCAGTACCACCACTTTTGAGGACACTTTATTTTGATGTACCCAATACTGCAGTGTGTTAATCATTTATGTCATCCGCCGCTTACGTTGTTGGCGGCAGGTTGTAATTCCATACCATCTCACTTTTGTTTCAATGCGCCTACAATTGGTTTCTTCAGGCAGAGACTAGACGAACCATCGGCATGCCTCGCATTCCAATATCCATAAAGTACAAAGAAACAGATAAATCTTTCTACTAAGAAAGGCGGTGTGCAGCGTTTATTATCAATTTGTTTCAGTCCTTCAATATATCGAGAACAGCAAAAGAGAAAACAGAATTACGATGCACAACAGTGTGCTGAATAGTCGTCAAAAAGCTGCAGAATCATCGATCTGTTAAGTCAGGGGGAGAGAGGAGGGAGGGGTCAAGTCAATGCGAATTTCGGACGCACCAATTCGACCATAAGGGGGAATCAACGTTGTCGATCTACAATTCAAGATTAAGAGTTGTGACTGTATGGAATGCATTGGGACTCCAACTACTTTACCTTATAGATCGACGTATAATCCGTTACGACAGAAACCAACCCAAAGTTATTTCTATAGTTTTTCAGTTAATACAATAAATAAACTTGCACTATAATACTAAAGTTTTGATTGCTGTATTTGCACTGCCCATTGGTATGACCAATGAGGAAAGAGTAAACGAAGTAGGTCAAAGGATGAGATAACTGTCAACATGAAGATACAGGAGATACGTAGAGATTGGGAGGTGCAGGAGCGTCACTGTTTACGACAGTCTGCGATATCACTCAGGGTCTCAAACCGCAGATCAGACTGTTCTGCAAATCTTCAACCAGTAATTTTAATGTCACATAATGTGACCGGGAGTCCTTGTCAGGTTTATTACACCCTCGAGCAAGATATTGTTCTGACTATGCCAGTTCGTCTTCCGCCTACCAAAGAGCATGACCGAGATAACTGAAGTGTAACACATGTTATATCTAAAGTGGATGCCAAGGATCATAGTGTGT